GTCACACCTGAACGCTCACATCCTTTTAATTATGTTTGAAATTATGAACATTGCTCAACATCATGAAAATTAAACCTTATTTTCAATAAGCAATCCTGAAAAATATTTGGGGGTGCTTAACTTTTTTCCAGGTGTATATATACTATATGTTTTAATTAGAACATATACATTACAACTTGTTATTTCATTTTATATTGACTAAGTTAAGTATGAGTTTTAGTTACATTTTGTAATTAATAACTTGAATGAATCTCCTGGTACTTATTGGACTTATCTGATAACTCTAACATAAATTCAGTTCACTTGAATATATCCAAGCATGGATAGGTAGAAGACAATTTTGGTGTTGTGATGTAAATACTGTTATTGTGGAGAGCATTAATAGCTACTGAAGTATGTACTACCTTCACTTGACTTCACAGTTAGAAAATGGCATTTTCTACAAGTAGAAGGAATTACAAGGAGGAGAGTTAGTCACTGAAGAGAGATGGTTGTCTGAGAGAGTTTCTGGGTTTAGAAGTATTCTCTTGGACATTGGACTTTTTCCAATGCTGCGAATTTCCATGATTTCAATCTTTCCGCAGCCGATGACCCAGGTGGGAGAACTTCCACCATAAGGATTGAAATCAGTGAGAAGGAAGCTCAAACTGAGGATTGTCAAGGTAATGTTGTTTCTGTAGGGTCTGAGACCACTTACGGTCTATACAGGATTCCCAGACACACACCATCCAGAGTTCTCAATTCCAGGCCTGGTCAAAGCCACTCAGAGATGAAGTGAGATTACAGGCATTGTGATGAACACTGTTCATTAATTGGAACCATCTCGTCAGCAGGTAAAACAGTGGGTGCCAAACCATAAAAGAGGGGCATGGGGCAGTGGGGAGGTATATTGCCAATGTGAACATGGAGAAGCATGAGTTTGAGAAGAGATGATTAATGAGCTGACTAGGGCACATCATTTCTTTGTCTCCCTGAAAGCACCTACCATGCTGTGTTGACAATGTTGAGGACATCTCAGACAAAAGATAACCAGAAGTTTGGAATCCTGGGTTTCTGGTGACGATCACAGATATCCACAAGTGAGGCAAAGCAGGTCATTCTCTCAACTATTAGAGGTGCAGCAAAGAAATATTTAGACTGTTTCCAGAATAATTCAAGCAGGTAAATGCTTGGAATAGCTGGACTCCAGAACAGGCTATACAAAGTCTGGACCTGAATCTAGATGGTCTGGCCTAAGACTCCATTGAGCATTTGGATGACAAATAACACTAGGAAAGCAAGACAGTCATTACCATATTGTGAAAAAGGATTGGTTTGGTGATAGAGAAAACAACAGGCAAAATTCAAAACTTAGAAGGGGGGTGCCATGGTTGCAAGAGGAATCCTTCTTAGTGAATTTTGGTAACCCATAAAAAATACCCTGATGATTCCCTGATGGTCTAATATTCAAATACTTATGACCTACAATATCTAATGTTGGAATTTACTATCATGCTATGGCTGGTTTTCTGGGTGAATTTTTAAAGAAGTTTACTACAAATAAATACACCCTGAAAGACAGCTTTGAGTTTTCTCATGAAATATAACAGTTGAAGTTGGATAATACATTGTGCTAGTTTTAACATAGAATTAATGTGCTAGAAGAATTCAGTACTGATTTAATTTACAATGAAAACTCCAATAAAGTGAATATTCCAAAGTAAGTTTTTTAAATTAATTAGCTTGGCTATTAAAGGGTCTCATTTTCTTTAGAATAGAAAACTTTACAATCAGGTCAATGGTATTGCTATGGGTTGAAAATTAGCACCATCTCTTATCAATCCGTTTCATGTTTTCATGAAAAACAATGTTTGGAAAATTGCCTGCAACAGTTTAAACAGCTCCACTATCACATATATGTCGATGATACTTTTACCATCTTCAAAAATGCAGATCAATTTCTACAATATCTGAACAACAGACATAGTTGAATGAAATTTACTATGGAAGATCAGGATGATTACAAACTTCCATTTCTGGTCACTTTAGTCAATAATAACTATGGACAATTCAAATGTGAAGCATATCACAAAAAAAAACGTTCACAGGTTTGTAATTTAATTTTGCAAGTTTTATTCCAAGTATTTTAAAGAAAATTTAGTGAAAATATTACTTCATCGTGCTTATGAGATATCTACCACATATAAGGACTTATATAAAAAATTTATGAATATCAGATAATTCTCAAGTAAAAAATGACTTTTCAGGTTATGTAATTGATAGAATACTTCACAGTTACTTAAATAAATGAAGTGTTAATATACCATGTATAACTGGTGTACCTAAATACCCTTTGGCTATTACTTTATTTTATCTGAGTAAATATTAGCTGATTATTAAGTATCAGCTAGAAAATATGATTTGTTGAGTATACTTACAAATACAACTAAGGTGTGTTTGTTCATACCTAATTGTTGCCTTAGATTTTTCTTTAAGTTCAAGGACCAAATTCCATCTTTACAATCATCTTTTGTAGCTTAAAAATTATTTGTCCTCACTGTTAGTAAGGCTATATTGGTTCTACCAAAAAAAAATCCCTAACATGTGTGAAAGAACATGTTAACCTAAGATCACCTGCTAAGTCAAGTGTATTTGAGCATGCCCTAGACGAATGTAATGGTGTTGTCTATTCCAATTTGTTTAAGGTCTCAGTAAGGGTTAATAACAAACAGTCTCCAAATAAAAGAGTTTGCTCATTCATAAGCTGAGGCCCAAAATTAATGTTTTCAGTTCAGCAAGTACATTACAGTTGAAGCCTTAAAAATGTCATGAACAGCAAAAGTAGATATATGGATGGTAGGACCCTGTCCTTATGTTGAATGTCTAGATCCTAAAATACGCAGGAGATAGTCTAGACTCAACACAGTAGTAGCAACTCATGGACTTCTTGGTGGAATATCTGATGAACATATGTGACCAGATAACCAATTAGGTTGAACTACAGTCACACACCATGACATAGATACAGGTGATGCACATATGATTAAACAATCACCATGCATGCTTTCCTAGAAATGTAGCAAGCACTAAAGTATAACAAGTCTTAAATTATAGAGCTGTAAGGCTTCAGAGAGTGTTGGTCATCTTAATTAGTGATTATCAGAAAAAAAAAGGTATGCCCAAGTTCAGCATTGACTTTAAAAAAAAAGTAATCATGGTAACTCACACTGACACCATGAACAAATGAATGTCTGGATGTGTTGGAAAGGGCTCATTAGATCAATGCTTTAGACTTGGAATCTATATACTGGCAAGATGAAATGACAAGAGCAGGACCAAAATTACTTTCAGCACAAAAAATTGTGGATAGAGAAGGAATTTTCTCAAATTCTAATAAAATAGCAATGGTGTGAGATTGGCCTCAATCTATGACCACCTGCAGTTTCCTTGGCACCAATAGTTAGTGAACAAATCTACCAAGATTACCTCACTGTTATCAATTCTTACTAAGGCAGAGGCAAACTTCAGATGGAGGGAAGAATGTGAAAAAGCATGACCGATACTGAAGTATGCTCAAGTAAAGTCCCAGTGTAAACATATACACGTAAAAGATTGTTAATTCCTGTTAAACGCCGATGCCAATGACAGTGAAATCAGAGCAATGTTATTGTGAGTAAAACATGTAATTATGTATACTAATCATACATTCACAGCTCTGGAATGCAGATACTGTGTGATAAAGAAAGAAATTCTTGCAGTTTTCACAAAACACTTTCAGCATTACTTGTATGGTATAAATTCACTGTTTGAACATGTCACTGAAATATGATTGACAAAATTAAAATAATCCAAAGTGATGATAACACACTGTCTAATAGCATTGTAGAAGTACGATTTAATTATATACAATCACCCAAGCTCACATAATGGAAATGCAAATGGATTGTATCATCAGAAGGTAAAACCCTGCCCATTTGTTGAATGTCTGGACTATAGAAATCATGTGAGAGCTGAAAACATTTCTACTATAACAATGACAAACCATACAGCAGGAGACTATTCATCAATGGATGCCACAGTTAATGATTTGGGAGCACTACGAAGAGCAGCCGAAGGACACAGATCTAGCATGAGACTTCCTTGCCAAGTAGCAAGGTAAAGTATGACTGGTTCAAACTTAGGAGTGTAGCACAGACACACATAACCAATGGCACTTGTATAACCACTTACAAGTGCAAGAATGTGTGCTCTACCAGTGTTATTAATCACTGAGCAGAGGTTCTCAGACTGTGTTACAGAAAATGCTCACCACAGTTGTGAGACAGGAGATTCTCCTGAATTTGAACAACACAAAGACTGTAAGACACAAAGATGTAACACACACACACTTGTGCTAACACTGAAAAGCAGTTCTTTTGGCCACATTTAAATTGAAATTTTCAGTACTGATGTGAATACTGTAAGGTGTGTTCCACCAAAAGTAAATGTCAACTTGAACAAGGTAAACTCCACCAAAGATTTGTTGGTTCTCCTCTACAAAAAAAATCCTGGATATTGCTGGTACACTCACAGAAGTAGAAAGAGGTCACCTGCATATACCCATTGTCACTGACTACTTCTCAAAGTGGACCAATGTTTATCCACTGGTAAATGTCTACACAGTCCTAGGCTGATAAACTGGCAGAGCAGTGGATAGTCTAGTTTGTAGCACCTTAAGAGATCCTCATATCAAGGAGTTAAATAGCAACCAAATGTTTTCTGAGTTGTATAAACAGATGGGTAAGGTGAAGATGCAAATTTCACTTGTCAATCCTAGTCAAATGATTTAGTGGAAAAACTAACATATAGTGACATGCAGATGCTAATTTTGTTAATCTGGATTGCACTAACTGGGGTGAAAAAGTCACGATAGTATACTGATAATTGTTAATGCTCGGTTGAGAAGTCCTACTTCCTGTACATATGATGTACGGTCCTCCACATACTGCAGACATCCCACAGTGTCCACATACATATGTGAGGTGGTAAGGTCTGCATTACTTAGTGTGCTTGAGTTTATGCATCAACGGCTAGGAAAGGCCATCATATATGAATAGATGCTATAATAAAACAATGAAGAAATGAATGTAACAAAGTGGAGACTTGGTGAAGCTTTTGTATTTCACTGCAGCACAGATACCTCCAGGCTCCGGTGAACCAGACCCCATCTGATGATCCAATGAGTTAGTCTATTAATGTACAAATGACAGCAGATGAGGGACTCCTGCAAGAATTTAATACATGCGTTTAAAGAACCTCTGGTGAACTATTTTAATCAAGAGTCAGAAGATGAGTCAGGTGAAATGAAGCTAATACTAAACATGTAACTGAAAGAAAGTAATTAAGGAAAAATAAAAAAGTGTTAGTGGATTCTAAAGATCAAAATTGAAGGTTAGCATATATGTGTGGGATCTACTTTTACAGTAAGCATGATTTTTATTCTTATAGGAATGACATCAGAGGGGAGCATGGCTAAAAAGGTATTGGTCAAGCAGAGACCTAACAAAGCCTGTGGATGCAGCAGTCCATGGACATAAGGGATACATGTTCTACTGAAGATAACAGTATGAGCACTTCTGAACATCATAGAATGTAACTTTACCAAAGTGATCCACTGATTACAAAGCTTCTAAATGTAGTTTTAGAGCTGAAAAAGACAGACTAATGTTCTATTCAAACATATAGTATGTTGTTCAAGGGGTTGTGATGTCAGTGTGATGTGTATGTTTTTTAGGAAGTGAGAAAAGGTTAATGCAATTATTGACCAGAGCACAAATTTATTGGGTTTAGAATTATAGTTAATAGTTGGCTTGAGGGCAAGCATGAAGTAAGGAAGACAACTGTATATACCATTTGTTTCTATGTTCTTGAAATATTATAATGTTTATTCTTTATTCAATATTTGTTCTGAATATGTGCAGGTTTCACGTTACACATGGTCAAGAAAGCCATTAAGTCGATGTTGATTCAAGTTACCTTTATTACATTGTTGGTCTCAAAAGTGGGTAATACTTTTTACCAGATATTGTTGTTGTTGTTTGGTGCTCTATGGCACAAAGCAGTGAGGCTACCTGCGCCAAACAACTGGTAAAAACAATGAAAGTAAATTAAAGTAAAATGTAAAAATACAACGAGTTAAAACCAATACATATCGGTAAAAGATTTATATAGAATTAAAAAGATGTATAGTGTGTAATAAATTAAAAATACAATCTAATCGGACAGTGTCACCATTACCAATGACACTGTACAGAGTCAGGGGTAAACTTTTAGAAAAAATGTGTTTAAAATGGTGCCGCCACTCACGGTTGTAACGACTGCACGGACAGTAAAATGTGGGCTATTGTGACTTGAGTGTCACAATGGCTACACATCGGTGGGTCAATACCTGATAAAAGAAAACGATGGGTTAAAAAACTATGACCAATGCATAGCCTTGCCAGGACTACTTCCTCCTTCCAATCCTTACGGAAGCAAGACGGCCAAAGACCAACAGAAGGTTTGATCTGGAAAAGCTTATTATGATGTTGCTCACTCCAAGTCGACTGCCAACTGGCACGAAGCCGCACCTTGAAGACAGGACCGTAGTCCATGTAAGGAACAGACACGGCCGTGATGGCACCAGAGCAGACAGACTTAGCTGTGGTGTCAGCGAGCTCGTTCCCGTGAATACCGACGTGGCCAGGGATCCAGAAAAACTGGATGGAAATAGAAGATAGAGAAAAGTGGGCCAATCGGTGTTGAATATCGACGAGAACAGGGTAAGAAGTAACGTTAAGCGATTCCAGGGCCAGTAGAGAGCTATAAGAATTAGTGTA